ATATATGTATATGTATATGTATATATATGAAGTAAGTTTGTTGATAACAAATTAAGTTTACACACAAATCTAGATATTAAATAAACCTGCAAGTTCTAACCAGGTACAATGCGACACGCTTGGTGTTACACACAATGAAATCTCATCGGCCAAAATTCCTGCTCCACTTAGCTGTGTATTAATCAATAAATGTGTTCTGATAGGCTGTAATTTAGTCACTTTGCAAAGCATTTTGCAGAAACAGAAAATAATCGATCTGATATTTGAAACTTGCCTCAAAATAGACTATTCTGAATGGGTTAAGGAAGCCCTGTATATTAGGCTTGTTCTGGGTTCTCTTGACCCTGAGAGTAATTGTTTCTCTAAGGGGGAATTTACAATTAGGCTTTTGTGTTTATAAACAGGGGTCTTTTTTTAAACGTTGTACTGCTTTTTATGGCTGATGTTACTTTAAAGATACATTTAAAGACAAAACTTTTCCGACAGGGCTTTTCCGACACCGTCATCGTGTTAATTAGAGCACCACTGCTAAAATATTCAAACAAAACCAAATTAGCAAACGATAAACTAGCCAGCCTCACTAGTAATATAGTTTGCAGTTGGATGACCAGTAAATTAATCAACCGTTGTGACCCATTCCTTCCTATCATGTCTGATTAGGACACAGTGTTATTGTGATGAACATTTAAATCAAGCAGAACACAGAACAGTGTTATCAGTGTGTGTGTGTGTGTGTGTGTGTGTGTGTGAAGGAGAGGTATGGGTGTGTAACATACTAACGTTCTCCACTTTGAACCACATTCACAAAGAAACCCTCTGTTCTCTCCATTCCCCTATAAGTGTGTGTGTGTGTAACATTCAGGTCCCCTCCAGCATGCAGGCAGGAGTCTAAAGGTGTTTGCATACAGAAGAGTGTGCTTTAGCTTTGTTGTGTGTATAGTTGCTTCTGGGGAGCTCAGTTTTACAAAAGAAAACAGATCAGTATTAACACACATACTAACACACCCCTGTACACACACACACAATCCTCCAGGACTGGGTGCCACACCTTGGTAAATATGTATGAAATACAAAAGCACACCCAAGAGCTTCAAACACCGTTTACCGTCACCATACAAGCATGTGACCCCTATCTGCACAAATAATGTCCTCTCTTGTTGAAAAACAGTTTGACATATCTGACAGTTTGACGTGGTCTGTCCACAGATTGCACGACAACAGCAGCAACTTCTGCAGCAACAACACAAAATCAACCTCCTGCAGCAACAGATCCAGGTGAGTCTTAATATAGATGTGTATGTCCACTTGTAGACTTGTATACATGTTTTGCGTTTATGCTTTTAAAGAGGTATGTTTGTGAGATGTCACAATGCGAGTGACTTGTCACCGTGACCATGGGGTTTCATGACAATCAAACGTTGTTGTCCACCAATCAGCAATCAACCCCCCTCAACCAATCATTAACGAGCATCAGTGCTGGTATCCAGAGTCCATACTCGTAGTCCTTTTGTAGAACAATCAAAATGTAGCTACAGAAACAAAGACAAAGCAACATTATGATGGAATACTATACTCCTCATTTTAAGGCAGTCCGTAATGTATTATGACATCCTCAGTAGAAAAAAATCATTCAAGATAAATGACAGATTCAAGAAACTTTGATTAAAATATAAACACATCATAAGCAAAAAGTTTCAATAATATAAAAAAATCAATAATAAAAAAGTCTAATTAAGAATAGCCTAATGAGATTTAATTTTGGTTAATATGCGGCCTAAAAAGATAGCTGCCTATAGACAGACAGCTTAATACGTTTTTAAAAATAGTGTGTATTTAGACATAGCAATCATGCAAACTATGATTTAAATGAATCTTTAAAAAAATGTGTAGGGAATGTCCTAATGGCTGGTAAAGGAGCTTGTAGAAAACTAAAAACAGACACTTTTTGATGGGTTTGTCCCAGCTGACTTATACATAGGGCAGAGAGACACTGGCCTGCTTTGTGTGTGCAGGTGTGAAGCGAATAAAGGCTTTGTGTGCAAGAGGAGATGAGATGAGTCTAATTTGGTTGATAAAATGAGACTTAGCCTTGAGAGGGACTCTGGCAGTTTTGGCCAGGAAGCCACATCACACTGAGACTATTCACACGCACACACACACACACACACACACACACAGATCACTCCCGTCCGCTGGACCCCTGCCATTCTCTTTTAGTGCCTGACTGTGTGTGTGTGTGTGTGTATGTGTGTCGCAGCTGTTTTTGTTTGTGTGTGCATGTTCATACTACACAGCTTAGCCTGAACATGTGTATGTGAGACTTATCTGTGTCTATTTCAAAATCCGCATCAGCTCATGTCTGTATGTGTGTCAGTAGCAGCTGTGTGTGCGTCAGTCCCCAAAACACGTCCGCTTGGGTTTCTCTAGCCCCGCTCGTCGCTCACAGAAACAAAGCTACTTTTTCCCATGACTTTGCAACCTTTTCCCAAACAAGCACTTCTCCATTCAGCCCAGCGGAACAATAGTTTCTCACAGTCAACACGGAAGGAGGCGGAGGGGCGCGAGAGGAGGAGACCCTTGTTATGGGCCAATCATATATTAGCCCTAAATCACCTCCTTAAAAACACACATTTGACTTATGCCTAACACACAGGCCGCTAACATACTGTGAGCAAACACTTGCGTCAGAGACAAATATAGCAGTCCTGAACTTTGAGTATGTTTAGAGTTTAATACAAGATGTTACTGAGGTCAAAAGCCAGATTCCACTTCCAAAAGAAGGAAAATAAACTTTAAAGTCAACACGAAATAAAAAGTGACCCTATTTACTTTTTTAATAAATATTCCTGGTCTTATTTTTAACAGTACTTCAGTACAAGTAATTCAAAACAACAAAATTTTTTTTTGGTAATTTTTTTTTTGCAGTCCAACCCTTGTCCTCATCAAATAATCTGTTTTACTCATATATGAGTCACATTAAAGGAGTCAAATAGATAGTCAGTGCTATTTCATGTTGACTTTAAATTGTAGGGCCTGTAGCACATTTAAAACTCCTTGAAGAGTTACTTCTCTCCTGAAATACACACACAGTTAACACGTATATCCCTCTCAGTGTGGGGCCACTTCTTTAGGCTCTTGGGGGTAACGTGCATACGCACTCTTTCATTCTTATTAAAGCTGTCTCCACTCAGGACCCCTCACGAGTCCCTCGCAGGACCCCTGACGGTTATCCAACCAGGAACACAGGCTCTTGGATGAAAGAATACACCTGCCGAGAAGCTTGAGGCACACATGCATGAAATGCAGGATACATATAATGCATTTCCATGCTTAACGAGAGGCGTAATGTTGAGAAAGACCTGTGGGCGCTGTGGCTGAGAGCTGCCCACTGGTACAACCTCCTCCTGAGCGCCGCTGTACTGTAACACTTTCCCGCTGTCTGTTCGCTTTTCTCTCATTAGCAGCATCCTTTGAGCACACCTCCTCCGGCTCTGCAGGGCGTCGTGCTGGTGTTAGAAAATTTCCGCTACCCAGAGCAGGGGCTGAGGTGAGGCTCCTCCGCTGTCAATGTGGCAGTTAACACAAGTAGCCAGACCTCCCATGTGGAGCTGCTTACGTTGGCTTAATTGACATCGAACGTCAGCCATTTAGCACGATGGCATTAGCCGCGGCTAAAGAAACAAGCACTGTTGTCGCATATTTTTGCTAACTAACTAGTTTAAGTCTTCAGACACGGTGGCGACAGAAACCGGTGGCTGCTTATAAAACACATATTAGAGTCAACCTACATTTCGGGAAAACTAACCTAATAAAGAGCTTCCATGGCAGTAGCTTATACATGTCAAACACAGCATGATCGCTTCCTAACTCAATCAGACTCATTTGCTGAGCATCAGTGCCTCCTCAGGAATGAGAGTTAAAAAGAAGGTTGAAGAGAAAAAAAGACAACAGGAGCGTTAACGCATCAGAGTTAGACCAGGTCCTGTGCACAGGAGCGGCTAACCCAATTGCCTGTGTAATTGTTTAATTTGTCTCATTACACCTAAATGAATGTAATTGGTGTTTTTCCTGCATGAAGTAGCCGCACTGGTTGTGTGAACAAGGCTTTGTGCAGCACTGCGGATGACGGTGGGGGAGTCTCTCATTACATGTTCCCAATTGATATGAGCACTCACTTTATATTATTAAGAATATTTCAGGCAGCATTTAAGAGTTTCTAAAGATGAAGTATGTCATTTCTGCACAATTAGCATTATCAGTTGTTTATTATGAAAATATTAGCACCTTATTGTGTACAATTTTCAGGATAACCAACTTATCAGCATATTTCATTGAAATTGAAGTAACAAAATTGGGTAACACTTTACTTGAAGGGGTGTGCATAAGACTGACATGACACCTTCATAATCATGACATGACACATGTCATGAATATGAAGGAGGTTTTATGCATGTTTATGACAACTGTCATTAAGTGTCATTCGCTCAGTTATGTCATTTTTAATGCAAATATGACATTATTTGGCCTAACCCTACCCCTACCCATAGCCCATAACAAAGACATCTCAAACAATGTCATCTTTGCATTAAAAATGACATAACTGAGCGAATGACACTTAATGACAGTTGTCATAAACATGCATAAAACCTCCTTCATATTCATGACATGTGTCATGTCATGATTATGAAGGTGTCATGTCAGTCTTATGCACACCCCTTCAAGTAAAGTGTAACCCAAAATTGCATGTTCAACCTATATCTTTGTGGTGTCTCTAAGTTGACCTTAAAAGATTGACTTTTGGACAGACAATAAGGAATATTTGTGTGTCTGTTCATGTTCTGACTGTGGGTATGTTCAGTTTTCCTGGAAAGAAAACAGCAAGGGAGAGAGTGTGCTAGACAGACATGTCTAACATGCTCATTCAACTCCTATTTGTAAGTAAAGATTCGGGCCATAGGATCAACAAGACATTGAGTGAGAGCGAGAGAGAATGATGAGGGAAATTCAACCTTAAAAGAAGGATGCGCAGAAAATTCTCCAAAGTGCTATATGTTCAACAAGGAAGCCAAAAGGAGGGAAATTAGCAGATACAAAGTGTTATACGTGTCCATTTCTACCTCTACTTCCTCTCCAAGTGCAGAACAACTGTGTGTTACCTAAGCGACTGGCCCTGAGCAGCATATAACAGTCTGGTGTGTGCCCGTGTATGCGTGTCTTGGTGTGTTTTAGTGTGTGGGGAAGGCTTCTCTCAGCCCGGTGGTTGGCAGCTAATGGGAGTTATTTGAGGAAGGACACACAGGCAGAGGAGCAGAGGGGCGCTGCGTTATGCCCACCTACAGCGGGCGGCTGACGCACCTCCTGCACTCACACCTAATGGGGGCCTAATAAAAGGCTGGCTGTGCAGACACAGGCTCGCCACTCAATTTCATTAGCCGCTAATCAGCCAAAGGTGCCCTTGGCTCACGGAAAAGGACCGTTCGCTGGAAAAAAAATGAGAGGCATACTTGGAAAAAAAGAACGAAGGGCATGAGTGAGAAAATGGACATGCGTTTGCAATTGGAAAGAGCAGGGTTGTTGGTTTGGTGGGGTTCGAAAATACCACATTTGTCTGGAATCCGCGATCAGCCATGGAAAAGAGAGATCAAGCATCAGTCATGTGACCTCAATGCAAATCTTTATTGGTCTGGACTTTGATCACTTTGTTTTTTTTCTCCATAGAATATTTGACTTGTAAAGGTTACATATAAAAACAAACCTACAGTAAGAGCTGAGATTAACATAATTTCCAAAATTTCTGGTCTAAAACTACACTACACATAATCCTGAGTGAGCTAAGTAAGCTCTGCCTTGAATCCAACATTAAGATGAATCATTGCTGTGGAGAACTGTGAAAAGAATTGGTCCCACTTTATATTAGGTGGCCTTAACTACTATGTACTTACATTTAAATTAATCATTTAATACAGTCCACTTATTGCGTACATACATGTTTTTACATTGTACTAATATTTTTAAAAATACCTGCATGTAAATACATCTGTAACTAATTTCTGTAATTACATTTATAATTACACTGTTGACCCATCCCTTACACCTAAACCCACTCTTAAACCTACCCATACCACCAAACCTGTCCCTAACCTTATCCGTATCCCACCTCAATAGCAGCAAAAGTGTTTTGCAATACAATATGAACACAATGAGTATATTGTACTTAATTTTTCATGTAAGTACATAGTTAAGGTGACCTAATATAAAGTGGGACCAAAGAATTTAGCAGCAAACTTCTGTAAAGCATTGTGAAGCAATGTCAAGCAAACATTCCTACATGCTCAGGTAATTTTATTGCAAAAAATACTTTCTACATATAATCAATCATTTCAAGATTTTAATATTGTAATGATTTTAAGTACTTTATTTGTAAAACGTTTTCCTTTTTCAAAAACTTAACACTCCATAACATACTATTTATGTATACTAATACAATATAACCAAAATGGTTACCCCATACCACCCTATGATTACAGTTTTTAAATACTTTTAATACTTTAATACTTTGGTTGAAATCCCAATGGAGGACATGAATGGGAAAAATACTTAGACCCAAAGCTGCAAAAAGAAGTAGCTACGGGTCCCTGTTGAGCTCTATTAGGGCCATGATAACTCGCCCTAAATTGACATCCCACAGTTGTCATGAAGGAACACTCTCTAAAAAAGGAAGCTGTCAATGTTTAACCAGGTGTATAATAAGCCGAGACACTTAATAAAAGAGACTCAGGACGTAGATCCATGTATGCAAAAGCAGATTGTCCGCACATGTTTGCTTGAGCGTGTGCGCAATTTTGATTGTATCCACCAGGGACAGTCCTTTCGTACTGACGCCTGCACCAGACTGGCAGTCATCGCAGGCTCTCTGTAAAAGTTAATGGCCTATGCCCACGTCCACGGGGCTAATATTAAGTGCCAGTCTGCAAGTACAGTGCGTGTGTGCTAACGCTGCTATCCAGGCGCAAATTAATTATTAGTTATATGGCTATGTGTCCCCTCTAAAGCGCGAGGTCACTGAGGCCCGCCTTTAATTGCCGGAGCATATGGCTGGAAACAGATTTTAGCGGTGGGACTCGTTCTTAACCACCGTTCCTGCGTGCATTCTCAGATGTGAGCCATATTGTCAATGCTGGCAGCTATTGTTTCACTCATTTACTTCTTAGAGCAAATTACTCCCTAATAATAGCTCTACCTTAAAGTTTTTCTCTCCTCCGTGCCAGCAAACCTGTTCACACTGCATATGTTAATTATCTGCACATCTTCATTATGTTCAAAAAGCTTTAGGTTCAAGCTGTGCCGCCTGGCGAGAGGCTCTGACTCAGTTTGGTGCCAACTTTCCACTTTTTCCCTTTCTGTTTGTTTCTTTCAGCATTTTTTTCTTTCTTGCTCTCTATCTCACTTTCTTTTCATATCAACTATGAAAGTTGCAAAGTTAGCCACTCTCTTCTTATCCTTGACAGGTTTTTTCCCTTTTTCTCTTTTGCTATCAATTTTTCTTAAGGCTGATTAGGTGGGGGGTTTTAAGGTTCTAGCTGTATTTTTTGTATGTTTTATGTATAAATAGATAAACAGTTATGTATGTTTTATTTTTTTTTCTATAATGGAGCTAGTCTATAGGACCAGTCTACAGAAAGCATTGTCTCATTTGACTTTTACCAGTTGTAAAAAACCATTCAGACCCAATTAACAGGACAGATTCCTCTGTTTTCTAAAAGTTTTTAAAAGCTTTTCAAGTAAGCCATTCTAACAACCAGAGAGTTCAAGGAGCCAGTATGGAATTCCTCAGCCAGCTGTTGGCTGATTAATAGTTTATCAGAGATTGCAGCTGGAGTTGACACTTTTGTTATAAGTTTTCTGGAATATTCCACAGTTTTCATGTACGTTAGACAAGAAGGGATTCCTTCTATTATATTATTGTTTAGTTCCAACTATTACAAGTTTAACGGCAACCCATCCAATCCCTACAGTGGAGGTACTTTGTTCCAGTCCAAGATTATTCTTAAGTCTTTGTTTCAGCCCTCTACTTTTAAACACGTCATGCGTTCCTGGTCCCAGCCAAAGTGAGAGATGCTTTGCAGGTGATGTTAACCATTAAAGGCCTTCAATTTAAATCTCCTTTGAAAGCAACTATAAAGTTTGATCCTATTGTTCTCTAATTCATGATGCATGTCAGCTGGATGCATCAAACTGCATTAACTGGCCTGAAAATGTCAATATCAGCCTCACCTACTCTGCGTGGGTAATGCTATTTGCTACATTGATTGAATAGAGAACAGCATGACGGTGTGTTCGAACGCTTTGAGGAGATCCACGAGCCTCTAATTCCATATGCACCCACACACACTTGCTTACATGTCTATGCGTTTAAGAGAAGAGCGTGTGCTTGTAATTTGCCACAAAACACTCCTTGCTCAAAACCACCAGAGAACACAAACACACACGTGCGCATTGGCTAGCACACGCTACTGTGGCCACAGAGCTGTAGCACGCGGTGAGGAGACACAGGCAGAACCAGAGGAGCATATGTCCAATTAGGACTGGAAGTTAGAGCCGCACCATCCCGTGGGGGGTCCTGTGAAATGCAACAATAAAACGCCACTGCCTCCTGATCTGGGAACAGGAGGCCTGCCGTTTGTGGTTAACCAAAATGGAGGAATGATTGCTCTGTGGTAAGAATTCAAAAACCCTCAGCCTCTGTTCATCTTAACACGCGACTGCTGTGATAAAGTTCCTCATCTGCTCTCGGAGCATGTCACTTTAATATATACAGTATTGTCACTTTTGGAGCTTTTGTGCTTTCATCATCAGTAGAACCATCTGTCCTCTTTTTTTTGGGCCTGTGTGTCTCAAGACTCTCCCTTTGCCAAAGTCTCTTCCTCCTTTTTTTAATCCTGGAAACCTTGTGAAGTGGTGTGGCGAGTTGCAGAGCATGGTCCTCTGCAGAAATGGAGGCCAGCTGTTGCCAGAGCGTGAAGAAGCTCCTTCACATGACAATAATCAAGGGGACCAACTATCCCAAGAGCCACCCGTCCACACCTCACTTGTCCTCAGGTGACAGTTGCTGGACAAGCACAGTGTTTAAACTCTCCCTAGGAGTAAACTAGCCAGACAAAGGGTGGTCCCCTTGCTAATTATTCTAGCCAGAAAACATCCATTTAGACAGGAAGTCTAACTGACAAGTTATTGTACAAAATATGAAATAGATGATGCCAATTCATGTCCAATTTGGCATTAGCTGTTCAGTGATCAAACTGCGGGTGGTCTGAAAGATTTTCTTCATAGTTGACCTGTTTTGGCTAGACTCTTTGTTTGTGACCAACATCTTAATTGTTTTCTTTCCATCTCTTCAGCAGGTCCAGAGTCAGTTGCCTCCACTGATGATACCCGTGTTCCCTCCAGATCAGAGAACTCTGGCAGCCGCTGCAGCACATCAAGGATTTCTACTTCCTTCGGGGTTCAACTACAAACCAGGCTGCAGTGAGTATTAAAGCAGCATTTCAGTGATGGGTTGTAAAATGAAAGACTTCAGTCCAGTTTATTGTTCACACTAGAGATTTCAAACCAGATTGCTGAAAGCGGAGTCTTCAACCCAATGTTGGGCAGCATCTCCCTCCTGTCTGGTGTGTTATTAAGATCAGCCTACACCACTGATGCCCATCATCTCCCGCACATGACAGACTCTCAGACTAGACAAACTCACTTGCTTTTGTGTCTCTGTATTTCTTGTTCAAAAGTAGGAACAGGAAAAAAAAGAAAACTTCCTCTGGGGTTTGTGTTTTTGGCCGTAGCAGTCCAACTGTGAAGCAATGTGTTGTTTACCGCGAGAAACGAGGCGGCAAGTGCCAGCAGCGAAGCAGCAGAACGCTCGCGCTCTCACGGGGGGGTAGAGTGACCTGCCCCAGGTTTCTTCATATTAACACGGGCGGCCGCCAGAACACGCATCCAATACGCCTCGCACACGCCTCCGACTCCTCTCCAACTGTACGTGTGCACACATACATTGCATAGATGGCACACTCATACACAATCATGAATGTACATCTCCCTTGTGAGACGGACCGGTCCGCATCTCCAGCTCCGCACACTGTGCTTCGCAGTTTCCCAAACAAGTCCCCCCTCTCCCTCTTCCTCCTCTCGAAGGCCCCCTCTCTCCCAACCATACACCCTCCATTTCAATTACAGCCAGCAGCACCATCAAACCCTGCCCAAAATTTCAATTACGCATGTCATTTAGTTACCATTACAGTGCCTGCTCACGAGGGAGGAAGCCGTCGTTTGAACCCCTTAAAACCAGAGCGGAAAAAAGGGGGATGAAATCCCTCCGGTCGCAGGGTCTGGACTAAGGGGACGCTGGTTCCCACCCATTGCTCCCCGGAGCCAGGCCACGGAGCTCTTCCAGTCAGTCTGAAGATGCTGCCTCCTCGCCAACAGCAACATGTTTACTTTCCTTAGTTTTGCTCTTTTGTTACAGCTGTACCCGGGAGAGACATAAAATAGCTGGAATATTTGTGTTTGTTTAGGGACTGAGAGAAAGACGAGAAAAAAAGACAAAACACACATCTCCCCAGAATACATCCTTGAACCGGGTCCAGGGCAATCTCTAGCCTAGCGGATGAGTATTTTGGGGGTGAGGGAAGGAGTGTATGGGAAAAAAGCTTTGGACCCACTAATGGAGCGTCTGGTTTATTGCTTACTAAGACAAGCTCCGACTTCCTCTACAAACCCCCTTTTACAGATACTCTGGAGCATCCAAAAGTGAAGCCTTCTGCCTTGCTGCCCAATCAACAAGTGCATTTACATGCACTTTAAAAGTTACATTTCAGTTGGAATGAAGCAGAAATGCAGTAATTAAATGTATTAATTAATTTACTTTCATCAGATGCCATTTTAATTCCTTCCACCAATTGCCAAACTGCATGCACAGAATGGTGAGATATCATAGATGAAGGGCACGTCAATGCTGGCTTCAAAACACACACTCCAAAAATCATTGATTCTTCAAGAATAACAGAATTATGCGGTCATTTATCCGATACATTTTAAGACTGTCTATCTGGATATTGAGCAGATGCATCTTCTGCCCCTCTTTCTCAGGGGCCGTTTACATGACGTTTTCAGCCAAAAAACGGGAAACTTTTTATGCGTTTTGCATGTTCGTTTACACAACAATGGCGTTTTGGGGACTGAAAACACATATTTTTGAAAATGGGTTTCAAAGTGCAAGTTTTTGAAAACACCACCGTTATTGTTTCCGTGTAAACACCCAACACGGGAATCTTTGAAAATGGTGACATCATGCGCGTGCGTAGTACGTGTTAGGTATGTAGATATGAGCCGTACGTGTCGATTTTAAAGGCAAGCGCGAACAAACCTATACAACAATGGCGGAGTGCATGGTTCTGTTTTTGCTGCTCAAGAGTTTGTTAACGCTTCTTCAGCAAAGTGTTGATTTACTTCACCAATATTACAACCAATAGCGGAGAGGCATCATATACAACATAATCGTCACTTCCCTACAGGTACTGTTTACTAACAAGGTGACAGCACCAACTACTGGCCTGGCATACGTAATACAGCATTTTTGGCCGTTTTCATAAACCTTTTAAAAACGCAAGGGGAAAAACTTTTCCTTTTTTGACTACATCGTTGTCGGGTAAACGTAGCCTCAGAGCGCCTCTTCCAACCTCTCCTCCCTTTTCAACCAGCATCATTCCATTGTTCGTCACACTTTAAACTCAAAAAGCTGCAGAACAGATTTAGGGCACACTCGTGGTTTCTCATGTAACAGGCCTTTTCAGCGTGATGCTGATAAACCACCCCCCCCCCCCCCCCCCCCCCGCCACGAACAGGACTGACCTTTACCTCTCGGTCGTGTAATTATAAAGCCCATATCTGCAGGTGGATGCTAATAACTCTCGCTATTCACTCCTCATGTTCTGATTCATGTCTCTAACGCAGAGGCTCTTGTGCGGGGCCCGAGGAGACAGGGCGCTGACGTTACCTCGTTAATTACCGTCCTCTCCTTATCATGCCTTAGCCTTCAACTGCTATTGTGCTCGGGGTATTAGAGCTGCAGCCACACAATCAGCCTTTCATTAGAATGGAGGGGGGACTTCACAATGGAGGTCTTTACTGACAGAAGAGAAAACAGTGAATCTGTCGCTCCATCGAAGGAGAGAGGGTGATGGGGCCCAGAGCCTGGCCAGAAGTGTGGGGAGATGAAAGGGATGGGTGATGTGTAAAAAAAAATAAAAAATCTAAAGATTCTGACATGCCTATAATGCTCTCTTCCTCAGGTGACCCTTACCCTTTACAGCTAATCCCTACGACTATGGCAGCGGCTGCTGCGGCGACGCCTGGCCTCGGCCCTCTTCAACTGCAGGTAACGTCCATCTTGTGGTTTTGTTTGTTCCTGTGTGTGTGTGTGTGTGTGTGTGTCTGTCCTTTTGCTGTGGCGACTCCGTGCATTTTTCCCAACCTTTCAAACAAAATCTCTTTTTCTCCCCTCGTTTTTCCCCCCCCTTTTTTTGTGATCCCGATAGAGAACAACAATGCCCACTGTTCTCCTCAACTCTTTTCCTCATGCCAACTGCAAGTTGCCATAGAAATGGGCCTTTGTGAGGGGCCGGAGCCCAGAGAGAGAATGCCGCACTGCTGGCTCTGGGGTGCTGATATTGTTCACTGTGGAGCGAAGGGTACCATAGAAACTGTTTTTAAGGGGGACAGAGCACAGAGGGACACTGAACAGAGAGCAAACACAAAAATATATTATGGGCTGTCTGAATAGAGTCAAACCCTAATGCAGCCTCACTGTGCTGCTCTGAAATGGAAAACGCAGTAAACACGTCTGTCCTTTTTCCTCTTCCTCCCTAGTTTGGTCTCTGGCAGGAGGAGAAGAGGGGGGTGAAGAGCATAAATCACACAGATGAGGGGGAATAGAGGTGCACATCTGCTACAACACTGTTTGTCTAAGGCCCAATCCCAATTCTATTTTATACCCCTTCCCCTTCCCCTTCCGCCTACCCCTTCCCCTTGTCCCTTGAAACAGAGTGTCAAGGGGTAGGGGTGAAAATATTCCCCTAAGAATTGGGACACCACTACTATGCCGTCACACGTCATCATACGTCGTCTAGCTCCTACAATACACACACCTAGGGCTGGACGATATGGCCAAAATTGATATCACGATATATTTCTTAATTTCGGTCGATACGATATAATTCCGATATCGATATGAACACTATTTATCTGAAATAGAAATCTTTTGTAACATTATAAATGCCTTTATCATCACTTTTGATCAATTTTAAGCATCCTTGCTAAATAAAAGTATTAATTTCTATAATTTCTTTCCCAAAAAATTAATAAAAATGATACTGAATGGAATAGTGTATAATGTTACAAAAGCTTTTTATTTCAGATAAATGCTGAAGTCAACTGTTTTTTTAAGTAAACTCACTCTAAAAAGAGAAAGGTACAGACGCGCACACACGCAACTTTCATCTCTCTCTCTCTCTCTCTCTCTCTCTCGAATTGGCAATATTTCAGAAAAGGATTTAGTGATTTATAATTATTGGGGGGGCTAGCCCTCCCCACTGTCTATTAGGGATGCACCGATATGAAACTTTTGGCCGATACGATAACCGATAATCCTTTATTTTTGAAAGCCGATAACCGATATGTTGGCCGATAAATCTATATCCAAATTTTTATATACTTTTTGAGAGCCTGATTACAAAAATCTTTATTAATGCCAAAAATGCTTACATTTATGTGTCTTTTTGTTCGCTCGGGCAGCCATGTTGCCGCTGAAGCCGGTTTACGCAGAGATAATTCATACCCCTTCGTTTGAAGTGTGGTCCCGAAAAATCTTCGTTTGAAGGGCTATCTGGCCCTTCCCCTTCCCTTACCCCTCCAACCAAAAGAGAATCGAGACACCCCTACCCCTTCACGTGAATGCGCGAAATGGAGGGGTAGGGGAAAGGGGAAGGGCTAAGGGGTAGAATTGGGATTGGGCTTAAGAATATTGTATTCCGACTCACTCTGGCCCAGTATGGACGACATGCTGCATTGAACCACTTGTCACCAGGTTAAGAGCCTGGCTGTTTGAGATGCATTAACCTGGGGGCCCACAGGGTCCGGGACCGGCCCATCCTCTCTGTTACCTCCCTCAGGCATTAAAGAGCCTGGCTAAGAGGCCAAATTCACTATTAGCAAAAATAGATGCACATTAGAGTTAATTTTAACAGGGCTTTGCACATACTTACACACATGCTAAGATCACACACCTGCACATCTGTATCACAAATTAAGCATATGTAAGAGGTACAAGTGGCTCTCACACATATGTGCTTGTACCGAAACAGGTGGTAATTCCAGGTGCCCTCTGGATAACAGGTAATAAAACAGGATATATTTTCTCTGTGCACTCACCCCACTGTGCTCCGTATGACTGGCTTACTGCGAGAATCTTGTCCCGTCTGATTTTATCTGCTCCAGAGCTTGTCTCCATATGTTCCCTCGTGTTAAGATTCAAAAAATACCAGATTGAACAGCTTTGTCAGGCACAATTGGATTTCGCCAGAAAAACAACTGGGGAAAAAAAGAAACAACAACATCCAATGCCACTGTTTTCTCATTCCAGCCTCAAATCTCCCTTGCAACACACACACACACACACTCACAGAGAGAGAGATTACAGCTTTGTCACAAAGAAAATTATTTACTAAGGCTAACCTAAATACAGATGTCTCAGACAGAAGCACGTTGGATTTCCTCTGGGACAATCTGCACGTCTCATCTTTACACTCCCCAACACGATGAGAGGCCCAAAATATTTGCTTTGGTCACTTCACAAGCCATTGTTCAGTGGTTCACGCACTCAGCCCAATGAGCTCACACTTTCAAATGTGGGTACGAATCTGGCTTGCAAGACCAGAAATACTACAATACTATTTACATTTGCATTTATGCATTTGGCATATGTCATTGCATTTAAGATTCTATCAGTTTGCATTTCCTAGCAGTTATGCATTCCTAGCCTCATGGCCTTTCTAGCATCATACTGTTTGAGCTAGAGGAATGCTTATATATATATATATATATATATATTAGGGGTGTAACAATACACATTCATATTGAACCGTACGGTACGAGGCTTTCGGTTCGGTACGCATTACAAACCAAACAATTTGTTGGACTAATCGATCCTATTATATATGGAAAATAAAAGAGCTTGAAGTGTGAAATATAATGTTCTCAGTGCCGCTGCGCTCAACAAGACAGCCCAAACGGCGTAACAGGTAACATGCTGTCTGCCCAGTGGCGTAGCGGACGGCCCCGTGATAACCTCCCTTGCTGGGGTGCGTCGAAAGACGATGATCTTGTATCAACGATAGCCGGAGATTTAGCCAAAAACATCAATTATTGGTAATATTAAGAGGATTTGGCATTTCCAATTAATGTAGGCCTGTTACATTCTTATTTTTATTAGGCCTATTATTATTATGAAGTTCCAAGCACCGACTTTAAAAAACAACTTGTTTAACACAAAATAAGTTTCTTCAAATTTTTTTTCACTATGTTATCAGCATATGTTGAAGTAGATTCGTCTCTGAGAGAGAATGTGGCGTCAGATGCTGAAAGCTCCGTCAGTCCGTTTTTACTTTCACTTTCGGCATATAGTGAATTGACTGAGATTAAGACATTCACCTGCATTACTCTTGCACAAAGTCTGCACGTTGCCTGTGTGATATCCATTGGCTCGCGTTCATAAAACAGAAATATTTTGTTTCTATTTCATTGTGACATAACCAATTAGCCCCGTACCGAACCGTGACACCACTGTGACATATTGAACTGAACCATGAAATTTGTGAACCCTTACACCTCTAATATACAGTGGGTACGGAAAGTATTCAGACCCCCTTAAAATTTTCACTCTTTGTTATATTGCAGCCATTTGCTAAAATCATTTAAGTTAATTTTTTTTCCTCATTAATGTACACACAGCACCCCATATTGACAGAAAAACACAGAATTGTTGACATTTTTGCAGATTTATTAAAAAAGAAAACCTGAAATATCACGTGGTCCTAAGTATTCAGACCCTTTGCTGTGACACTCATATATTTAACTCAGGTGTTGTCCATTTCTTCTGATCATCCTTGAGATGGTTCTACACCTTCATTTGAGTCCAACTGTGTTTGATTATACTGATTGGACTTGATTAGGAAAGCCACACACCTGTCTATATAAGACCTTACAGCTCACAGTGCATGTCAGAGCAAATGAGAATCATGAGGTCAAAGGAAACTGCCTGAAGAGCTCAGAAACAGAATTGTGGCAAGGCACAGATCTGGCCAAAGTTACAAAAAAAATTCTGCTGCACTTAAGGTTCCCAAGAGCACAGTGGCCTCCATAATCCTTAAATAGAAGAGTTGTATTTATATATACATAATAAATATACACAGTATACACATATTATGTAAATAAACTTTTATTTTGGATGCGATTAATCGCGATTAATCGTTTGACAGCACTAATATATATATATCATTATTTTATATTGTAATAACATTTTGCAAGATTACTGTTTTTTCTGTATTTTTGATCAAATAAATGCAGCCTTGATGAGCATAAGAGACTTCTTTAAAATACATTACAAGTCTTACTGATCCCAAACTTTTGAGCGGTAGTATATATATATATATATATATATCAACCGAAAATAATGCATTCTGTCACTTGCAGTGTAGACATGTTGATTATAATTTGTAGTACAGTTATTCAACTTAATTTTATTATATTGTCATTTGCTTCTTGCATCCTATGTAGTGTGCATGTAGAGTATTTAGAGAAATTCTCTTTAGGTTTCAACACACCTGCAATCGCCAGATGAACAAAGTCACATCTGTGTGAGACTTCTTACCTACACAATGGCCATTAAACAAGACCTTTAAGTGTGTGTGTCTGAGTGAGAGGGAGTCATTGCACCAGGGGTCACTATCTTCAAGGTGTTTTCCATTAGTCACTGCAGAGGTTTTTAAACCTGGCCACAAAACCAGTTTTCACAACGGCGGCCACAGTTCACACTGGCCTAATATTCTATTACCAGCTAAATTAACCTGTGCAACCCACCAAAACCACACACATATACACTGAGGGATTGTCTTGAAAAGCCGGGACAGTGACTATGACTGTGTTGAAAATGTGGGAATAAAGAAAGAGGGACAGATAAGAAAAGGAGGAGTAGAAAGATACGAGCAGTGAGCAGCAGTACTAAAGAGGTATAAAGTGGGTCAATGGAGGAGGTCAGCCATCATATGTAGAGGCAGATGTTGGACCATATTGCACTAGATTACTGCAGAACGAGCAGAGAAAGCGAGAGGGAGACTGTATTAAATGCCTTTTATCAGCCGTAAGAAATAGTACATGTATTTCCATTTGTAGTTCAAACCCCCAGCGATTTATTTTTTTGACAGGCACTTGTGTGCTCACAATGATAAGCACTGTGAATTCCTTTCAGATAGCAATCTGGTGGCATTGTCCAAGCTCGATGAGGTCAGTGGCACTGGTAATAGATAGCATGACTGGATTGATCCTGTCCAGCTTGCCCTATCTGCACCACAACATAATAAGCTTACATAACATTCCCAGTGTATCACACAATGGGAATGTTATTTTGACTGAAAGCTTCCCACAAGCAAACCTAAAACCTGGACTGGACTGAGTCTCTTCCCTGACAATCCGAAAAAATAATTAAGCAAAAATTATCCTACCTCACAATATATTTTAATTTGGCTTTTGTATTTTTGCAAGCACTAGCTTTAGCACTAATTGACACTTAGGGAGGGAGATTTCTTGGCAGCGGCTTCAGTCAGATGCAACTCGTGTCGAAGTTCATCCCGCCTGGCGCACTAATCAAAACGGCACAGAACTCGACAGCCAGTGTTTAGTTTAGCACAAAAAAAAATTACGACAAGAATAGGAAGAATTGACGACGACAAAGAAAAAAAGCATGAGGCGCACAATAGCCAGCGGTGACCAAAATGACAATAGCTTAGAGGATCACTCCAAACTGCTTCCATTTTAACAACAAAGCAAGATGGGAAAAAGAAGCTCATAATCTGAGTAAAGCAGGGTATTACTGGAGAGCGAGAGATGTCTGCTCAGCCACATAAAGACACGCAGATCCACTCCGACGGATAGCGCTGACAGCAGCCCGTCTTCCTGCGCTCAGAGAGGGGACGGGGGCTTAGCGAGGATGGGGGGATGGCTTTGTTAAAACATGTGTCACCAACACTAATACTCTCCGATCAGCCTTACGAGTTAAAGCACAAATGCCAATCTATCTCCACCCGTCACCCTGCATATACACACGTACAAACACACACACTACTTAATGCAGTCACATCTGACCTGCTAGATCGGACAGGCCTGAAATCAGGTGCAGCGTCACAGACTGGCATTGCCATTGGGATCTTTCTTGTGCTTCCTTCCTCTGTGTTGACGGTGTGTGTTTTCTTACCTTTGTTGCCTTTAAACATACACAGAGTTCTAGTTAGAGAATTAGAGCTGGCCTAAGACTCCTCTGTGGGGATTAGCAAAGAGAGAGAGCGAGAGAAGCAAGGGGAGAAGCTTTAAGAGTTCAAAAGGACGGAGCCTGACTGAAGGAGTCAAGAGTCCTATCAAATGCCTCACAGATACACCCTCCCCCATTCAGCACCTCTGTGTGTGTGTGTGTGTGTGTGTGTTTTTGCGTAAGGCTGACATTTAAATTCCTGTTACATCCCCACTTTTGAGATCAGCCACCCATTCATCCCCCATTCTCGCTGCGTGTGCATACGTGAGCCCGTGGGCACTCGAGGGGCATTGTGCTGTCACTTCCTGTTTGCTCACGCTGACGACGGGGTGGCAGCGCTTTGAGGGTGTTCAGTGGCAACCCCTGTTGGAAGTGCAGTGTATGTGTGTGTTGGTCTAGCTGTTGTGACTGACAAAAGCTGGCCCTGTAATAGAACTCGATTCAGAAAGAAAATAAAGCAGTCTGATGCAGTGGACCGGACACGGAGCATCTCGCCCTCTCATGCACACACACACACACACAAGGCAGGGCACGCTCCGACAGGGGCCGTATGTCACGCTCAGGCACACACACAACCAGGGGCCATGGTGGGAGTAATTGAACAGAAATGACCAACAAGAGCTTTATTTCATGTCCTGCTCCCCTGCACAGACTACAGCTCACAACTGAGGTCACCTCCTGATCAGAAAGCTCAGAAAAATGTGTGTGTGTTGAGGTTGTGCACAACCAGAGTGAGGAATACAAATAGAAGAAACGCTTAGAATGTTTATTTTAAAGATAATGACCGACTGACTGTACAATGGCACGCACATTACTTAAGATAAAGAAGTATAGATTTGAGCTGAGATTATTTTGTGATGTTAAACAAAAGAGATAAATGAAATCATGGCAATATTCCAGCAGTTTAAAAATTCCATTCAAACAACATACTGTTTCTATGCAAGGTCTCTAAAATGTCTAATTTTACTTACTGTAGACATTAAAAAAATGAAAGGCGAAACAGTGTTGATTAATATTGTCCATCGTATTGGACAAAACAAATATAATTAAATACACATCAGAGATTTTTTATATATCGATGTACCTCTACTTTTAGGCATACAGTTAATGTAGCAGTGTTCTGTAATTGAAGGAAAAATCAGTACTTATTAACTTTATTAGCTCTCTGAGGTGCAAATTTAGGCAGATAAAAGCCAGTGTGAGTGGATAGAGATGTTCTGTGTGGAGATATGTCTCTCAGCATGATGGTGTGTTAATCTCTGTGTGTTCTCATCTGATAGAAATATTTAATTCTAGCAGATACAGCCGACAGAAGATTGTGGAGAATGTGCTGTCGAGGTTGAGAGAGAGAAAGAACTGCCATGGACATTTGCATAAACCAGTCTTTGTTTCCTGCTGGTGGCTGGCAGCCAGAGACGAACAGAAGGACGGAAGTTTTACTCACAAACAGCCACTTGCTTCCAAACCTTAAAGAGAAATATACAATTTAAAAAACAGCCCGTCTCTGCTGCTACTGTAAACACGGATTTGGTTCCTCATCTTTACCCACAAATACAATAAAAGCCCCCCCCCCCCTTCCTCATTCGTAGCTTTCTTCAAAGTCCACAAAATTGCACATGAAAGCCGCACAAACACACTTATTGCAGGAATTGTACAAACAGCTTCGGGAATATGTTTTAGGTGATGTCCAGCCGCTGTACTGTCTGCCTGTTACCGTAGAAACGTGCTGTGGATATCCATACAGATATCCATATCTAAAGACTTCATAAGCCAATAGAATATTGACATGTACATATAAATATGCATGACAATAAATTGTCAAAAATCAGTCATTTTGACCTTTTGTCATTTTCATCACAAATGAAAACATTTTAAACGACAGAGAAAGAAACGAGCAAAATGTTTGTTTATTCTGTCAAATGGCAGTATGCTGCGTTTCATTGAATCATGCTGGCAGATATGTTTTCAAATTTTAAGAGCGCTTTTTCATGGGTCCTCCTGTCCTGGTGTGTGCGCTCTTAAACAAGAGTAAGAGTAAAAGAATCAACGGGGGTGCGGCGTTTGTTTCTATTCCCAGTGGCAAAGAGATTCACAACTTCTCTCTTTACATAAACACATTCACCAGTTTTTCACCTTGAGAGGCACTTTTTTTTCCGTCTTTTCTTTCCTTAGTGAATATGACCCTTATGGTGAGTGTGTTTTTTCCCAGGATGCACCTTGGCGGGGACATGTCTCACTCAGGCGTCTGCTAGCTGTTAGCGTAGCCCCTTGAGGGCGGATGGTGGAACATAAAGTGACAGCTCTGTCCCCTCACACATAAACAACCATCAGCCCTCTCCACTAATGGCCAAACCAGCTTTTTAGCCTGTTTTTTTTTCTTTTTGTTTGTTTGTGCGTTCTATGTATTCATTTATTCATGGACCTTTCGCTCTCCTTCATCCACTCTTCTGTCCCTTCTCCCTCTGTCTGTCCTCTCTCTTTCTCTTTCTGTCTCTCTCTGTCTCTGAGCAGCAGTTGTATGCAGCTCAGCTAGCTGCCATGCAGGTGTCTCCAGGGGCCAAACACAGCACAGTGCCTCAGGCCAACCTGGCAACCGGAACACTCTCGCCCACCAGCGGCCAGAGCGAGAAAAACAGAAGCACCCCGCCACCAAAGCCCAAGGTATGTGTTTGTGGATGTGTATTAGGCTGGAACAACTGCGTACATTTACCATCCTACCATCCAGAGCTATAGTCTTTGTATGTACTGGTTTTGATGTTTTTTTTTGGTTGATTACCCATAACTCGCGCAAGCTGGCACTATGCCCTCAATTCTCCGTGCCTCATTGCATTGTTCCATTTCAAGTGCTTTGTTATGGCAGCTTCTGAAGGTCCTTGGTCATCGAACCTGAAGTCTAGCTACCACCACTGTGTTGTGCTTTTTCCGATAGTGTATAAGGCTCTGAGCAGGTATCTTTCCCTTCGGCCAGCGTGGCAGCAGGAGGCCAGAGCTATCTGAGCAGAATAAAGCTCCATGAATATCAGGCAGTGCAGAAATAAAAGCAGCCTGTCTGGCCTCTCTTCCCTCCTGCTGGGCTGGTCATTCTAGATGCCCAGACACCCCTGCAAGCCCATTCTGTCCCGCTCAGCAGTACAATAGCTGGACCGTGGGGCGGCCAGGGCTGGATAAACATGTGTGAAGGCCTGTTGCCTGCTCTCTCTCCGGCCTTGAGCCACGGCTGAGACCGATGCTTGTTTGGACAGGGAAGAGAACAGACCTGGAGCTTAATCACATGCCTGTTGCATAGAGGAAGAGTTTAGGATATGTTTCCGTCTGTCAATCTCAGTGTAAAGCTTTGGCGGTCCCCATCGATTGGGCCTGGCCTCATGCAGCACACTGTGTCAAAGGCTAATGAAGGCTGGTTTCCTCAAACATTTGGTCCTTTGTTGTCACATGCCCAAATAAATGGAGAGAAAGAAGAGGGATAGGGATAATACAGATAATTGGCCTCCACGGCTACTGAGCCATGAGGAAAAATGACCTTTTCCTTATATTTTTCTGTCTCTCTCATATTCCCTATCAAGTATCTCAAAGTGGAGTCAAACCTCCTGTTTCCCTCTCCAAATTTTTCCTCAATCAGGACTCTCTTGTTTGTTCTCTCTGCGTCTGCAAGCTTTCGCCATCATGAAGGGGCAGGCATGTATATTTCAGGGTTGCTGCCCTGGGGTAGTTGCCACTCTCTCAATTTAAGACGTGTGCCATGTGTCAGACAGCTGGTTGGACTGAGGCGTACAAAGCTTAAGTGCTTTACCCCGGGGGAAGCCTCACAACTCAGGTGCATCACAGAGTCACTATATCACGGTTTTCACTCTGTGACCTACTCAGATTTACACATGCAGACCCTCACACCCTCATTCCTTCACTTAGGCTCAGTGCTGCCACAGTTGGCTTAAGGATTTCTCTTGAAGTTGCTATATATATACACTTACAACTAGATTGTATGGTTGGTCAGCATTCTGAGCTTTGACACTTCCAGTGTAAACAACCTCAAGCTGTAGCGACACACCGATCACTTCCAATATTGACACAATATTATTGTTAATTTCTTTTTTTAAAGTCATTTTATGGGCTTTTTATGCTTTTTATTGAGATAGGACAGTAGAGACGACAGGAAAGCATTGGGAGGAGAGAGGGGAGCGGAATCAGCAAAGGACTTCGAGACGGAAATCGAACTCTGGTCGCCTTGAGCACAGTTACGCTGTATGTTGATGCACTAACCATGAGGCTTTTGGCACCGACATGTTATTGTTAATTTCTAAGGGTTTTTTTTAGGTTTTGGATTTCTAAGTGACATCTCATTTTAAATGAGATTTAAGCTTATTCATTTTGTATTTAAGTTGTCTCCTCCTGTAAAATGTATGACTGATCTTAAAGCTAGCCTTCTTCCTCTCACATGGCTTTGCCAGTCTTCATTAGTTCTCCTCTCACCAGCTACATTCTCTTTGGCTAACATCCCACCCAAGGATTTGCTTCTCGAAGAACAATCCACTATCGGGGCGGGAGGCAGGCATTATCTGTCATAAATATTCAGTTTTCCTCTTCAATGCAGCCTCGCTACACACCCGACACAATATGGGTCATGATACAGTATTCTCCTCAATCGCGTCTTAGTGTTCTCATTGAGTAGGGGCTTTTGTGTGTCTCCCTTATGATGGAGTCCACATCCCACTGGTTCCCTTTCCATTGAGAGCAGCACTAATGAGGACAATCCTGTTACGGCCTATCACAGCACCAGCAGTGAGGGAAAGGTCTTAATCAAGCTCTCCAGACCTCAGAAGCTCTGTTCCAAAACCTAGCATGTTGCCTTGCTGAGGTACAGCCTCTGAAAGAGAGCAAAATGTCTGCTCGTACTACTGCAGAGGCAAGACGAGGAGAGACACTGTAGTTCTGTGAGATGTGGTTGTCCTCTATGGCTGCTGCAAATGCTTTTGTGTTTCTGGGCATTCATGATAGACAGAAAGGCTCTAGAAACAGGTGTCAGTACAGATGCTGCACTCCCCATGTAAGCACATATAAGATCCCACCGCAGTGGGAGCATGCTAGTGACCTAAGACTCACTCTGCCAGGCAAAAATGATTGACAGCTGTGGCTTGAGCGACGGCTGGTGAGGTCATTAGACCCTGGAGGTCTGAGGTCTGATGTGGTTTCGATATGGAGATGTGAAGCTGTTAAGAACAATAGTTAGGACAGAAATGTCTTGATGGCAATTAAGACAGGTTTAAGCCTTCATTGCAATGTTCTAATGATGTGCACAGGGCAGCATCTGCCGTTCTGAGACCTAATTGGCTCTATGGTGCCTTCTCTGATGTGATTACAATGTCAGCAGGGTTGATATCTGGGTACTAGTCATTTGCATGTATGAATAGAGTCCACCACTCGTAACCTTGAGGCACAGAGGCAGTGTTGTTTGTTTATTATGTAATTGAGTCTAATTGACATCTGTGAACATCTGAAGCTGGAATGTGTACATTAAATAATCATTTGTGCTTATATTTATGGGATACTTGGTTATTCTGTGTTTGTGTGTATGCTTGTATGTTTTTTTCTTCTCAATGCGCAACATGTTTGGTAAATGTGTGTGAATCTTCTCACTTAAGCATGTTTCTTTACATGGTATGCTCGCTTTGTCCCTGTTCTCTTGTTTGATTGAGCATGGGTGTGCTGCATGTTTATTGCGCCATGGCATTGCGCAACATCAATCTAATATTGGCAAGTTTTTCAACTGGCCTGCGCAACCGCAATTAATCTTACATTTCCTTGTGGTCTGGCCGCATCTGCTGAAAACCTACATTTCGGTGTGCGGTCAGCTGATTTGACCCCTGCTGGGAGATTTGATTGGGTCCCAAGTCTCTGAGGAGAAAAATCACACCAGGCCAAACGTGTTGCTGTTTTGCAGGACGAGGGCGCTCAGCCCTTGAATCTGTCGTCCAAGCCTAAGGCATCCGAGAGCAAGTCACCCACCTCCCCCGCTTCCCCACAGGTCCCTGCCCTGAAGCTGGGCCCCGGGTCCCTGAAGCACAGTGCCCCCTCCAGCATCGGAGGACCGCCGTCCAGACTCAGCTCCATAGGTACCCACACCTCCACAGTTCATTGCAATTCAATAAACACACACAAATCGCAGCATAACCTGCTTAATGTTATTACATATTGCCCTGAATGTATCTCTCAAGAGCATTTCCTACTCCCTGGATATATTTTTCTGCTGGCACAGACTCTTGTATGAGACGGTAATTGATGTTACATTTTTAGGTTTGTAGAATTTAATTTTGCCTGAAGGGCACATTGTCAAACATTTATTAGACTAAATGTTGGGGGAGAGCTTGTTAAGCAGCTGTGTTTGGAAGCGAAAGAGAGCGAGACAGCGGATGGGAAGGTTTAGCAGCGTTTATTTCTGTTGTTTAGAGGTGCTGAATAGAGCAACACAAGCCTTCCTGACAGGCGCTGAGATTAGACAAGCCTCTTATACAACTCTGTTACCACCCACAGCACAAACAACATACATTAATAACACAATAAAAGCAATATTCTCCCCTCCCCATGCCTCCCCTCCTCACAACAGTTAGCCATTTCAGACTTCTGCTCTGTAATCGCAGTGTTTTTCAACAAATCCTGGGATTTAATAGCAGATTAGTGGATTTGCCGCCCAGATGTTTTTTGTTCAGAAAAAATGGATTAGGAAGTAAAGTTTTCACTGGAATCCTTTAGAACATGGCGCGGCGAGCGGTACTTTTAGATCATTAAATTTGAAAGTGCCGTATGTCCCATGATTATTCTATCTGGAGCACATCTTTAAGGGGTCAGGAAGTATTGTGATATCAAAGACATATTCAGAGCCCCACATAAAATGTTGTTTGTAGGTGTACGTGTTTATCTGGATGTATATTTATATTTCAACTTGACAAATGCCTTTGAACGCCCTTTTTTGTGCAATTTCCTCATCTTTCCATCATCCTTGTTCTCCACCTCTCTTATCTGTTTGACCTTGCTAAGTGACATCTGTCCTGAGACTTTCCAGCATGCCCGACCCCACGCGTCCCTTTCTTTTTGTGTCACTGTCACCACAGAAACATAACAGGGGCTGTCAAGGACTGTGTCCTCTAAGGCCATCACTCTCCCTTGCTTTTCCTCAGAAGCCAAAAAGAAAGTTTCACTCTTCAGGTCACTGTAATGTTAAAAGTGATATACTGTTTATGTTTTGTGTTATTAGGCTGATAGTCATCTCTTCTTTAAACAAGTCATTTTAAATGTAAGAAAATCTCATAACCATCTCTCTTTAGTGGGGTCAGTGCTCTCAATTAACACTCCAGACATTTTTTTTACCCCTATTAAATCGACTGTCAGGAAGTGTGCTGGATCTCACACCCTGTGACCTGTGGCCACTTTAGCAGATTCCTGAGATATGACTTTTAAAAGAGTTCCCTACTCTGTCATTTCAAATGAAAGCATTTAATCCATCCTATCCAGCATTAGCGACCGGATTAGGACAGATAAAGACTCATAATCTAGCATAGGTCTTTGTTAGATCTATCCTGGCAAGATAATGCTCCACCACACATACACTAGCCAACAGATGCGGCTAACGGCTTGGGCGGTTAAGCTGCTGAGAATAATACAAATAATAGCCATGAAAAGATGGTTGGAAACATCTTTGATATGCTCGGAGGCAGATGTTGCAGAATGGGCCAAATTAGGCCGCTTATGGCTTTAATATAAGTAATCTCCTCTCTCTTTTTTTTTCCTTTAAAGATTTCCCTGAGCTTTGGTCTGAATAAAAGCTTACAGAATGGCAGACAGAGAAAGAGAGCGAGACTGCTTTTATATGTGTGGGATATAAGACAAATTGCACATTTTAGCAAATCTCTCAATGTAAAAAATGCAGATTTGGGAGATTTTCTTCAGGCGTCAGCATTTGTTTTCAACTAGATCTCTTATATTTTGCATGTGGAAGTATTGCTCCGTTCCAAATCCTAGTGAGCTGCCTACAGAGGCAACATTTTAAGGCAAAAGCTATCCCAAAAGGTAGGAATATATAATTATACAGCCTCCTTCACTGAGAAGGCAATCACAAAATGCATTGCAACAATATGCGAAATTGCTAACAGGGAATGGAAATTGGCCATTTGGTAAATGCAGGAACCATTTGAAAATGACTGCATTACAACAAGACACATTTATATGCTTTACCTGTCTGCTGTCTTACGGTCTCTTGTCTTATGCTTGTGCTCTGTCTCACTCATACCTGTCATGCTTTCAGACCTACTGTCGTCCATCACCTCCGGCGGCTACCTGAACGACCATGAGGCAGTGACCAAAGCTTTCCAGGAGGCCCGACAGATGAAGGAGCAGCTAAAGAGAGAACAGCAGGTTCTGGACGCCAAAGTAGCGGCTGTCAACAGCCTGAGCCTCAACAACGGTCGCTCAGAGAAGGTTCGATAAACTCTGGTCTTGTATTTACAGACTCACTTATTCTTTCAATTTGTGAAGGAAAAAAGTCTGCAGATCCCTTCCTGCTCATCACCAATGAAGTGAGGATTAAAACAGCCGAAACAACACAAACAGAAGCGTTAATTACAACAGAACGTGTTTATCTCTGAACAAAGCGATTTCCCAAAGCTGTTCTTGTGAAGAGGAGCAGTGGAGGTGACTAAGATCTGAAAGCTCTTTTGTTGTACACGATGGTCGTGTCTGGAAGGCAGGCTAAGGGCAGGCAGGGCGCAGTGAACGGGATGCTAATTTTAATGGCGTAGCTGACGTTAATGTGAAGTGACTGGAGTGACTCCTCGGCTGTGCGGCTAAATTGGGCTTGTTTTCTAAACACACTGGAGTCAGCTGGTCCACGAGCCACAGCACAGGAAACGCCTTCGACCACAAATAATAAAACACAGTCGCTTTCTGAGGAATTTGCATACAAATGCTTTTAAAAGCCGAGTGTGTCAGTAAACAAGCATTAAATTATGGACAATTTTGCCTCGTCCATCTCTAATGGCGTGATTGTGCACATCAGCAGAGGAAGGCGCTTGTGTATACACAGGTGTCCTTGCTTCCTGATCTTCTCTGCCACACAGAGATTTGGTTTATTTCATAAACCTTTGTGTAAACTCATATCAACATCTGCAAATACACAGTAGGTAAATGCTTAACTAAAGCATGTTTATGGGTGCATTGATCTCTGCTTCAATTTAGCACACGCACACATTGGTGGGGTTTTTCTTCTGTCGACCAGGCTTAGTGGCTCTGCTGATTGCTACAAGGTTAATGAAGGTGCATTAGGAATAAGCCACATCTCCCAAGCACTCTATCCTTATTATGATTTACAACAGATCAGCTGCACTTTACCCTGACCACAGCTTTATGCCCTTACACACACCGTCCTCCGTGCTGCACTTTTGCACATTTAAAGTACAGAGGGGTTATTTTTGATTAAGGCCACACATCCGAATGTTGAAAAAAGGGCAGATTAGCTGCAGTAAATATGAGGGCAACAAACACCTGAAGAGAGTTTTCAGTTATCTGTCTTACAGAAATTGGATGAATTTTTTTTTCTGTATTTGCCATATTTCAGATTGAAGCGGGAAGTTTTAATACAAAAAATAGACTTTAGGCTTTTGTTACATCAACTATGACCCATGTTTTGCTACTTACTAGTCTTAGCAAGGGGGGGTTTGGGGTGATGCATAATAATTCTAGAGAGCTTCTGACTGGACAAAAATCTGTAGTAGAGGATGAGTCGTGTATTTTTGTCCATTTTCTTAGAGAAGACTAATTTTTAAATGTGCATTTCTGTTAAAAAGGAATTTCCAGGATTTTCTTCAACTTTTAGATGTACTGTAGCATATAGATTGCTTCAAAGCTAATAGACAGACTAAAATCCTCAAAGTTTTTGAGTCTGGATTGCAGTGGTTTGTGCTGAAATGCCACATGGCAAAGTGGCACAATTGTTCTTTCACTATTTTTCCCCCATTCATATTTTTACTTTCATATTGTTACTTGACTTTACCTCCTACGTGACTGAGGTCCACATCAGCCAGCCCATCTAATGTTTGTTTTTCCTCTTCAGTCCATTATCTCCTGATTTTAGACAATTACTGTCCCTCTCCATTTTAACCTCGACTCTCTGAGAGAGAGTGTGCTGCGCGCTTTGAACTTGTTCCCCAGGAACACATTGTGCAGTCAAACCAAGCCCTGTTCCTAAACCCTTTTGTGTCACACTAAGCTAAATGGATTGTGGAAGATGAACAAGGTCAGTCGTCTATGAGGTGAAGGAGTTTTAGTGTCAATCCAAACAAGGTTTAGCTGGTTAGCATGGCCCAGTTAGCCTCTGCTGGTACATGTTGTAACTACACCAGCTTAAAAGCATCTTTCTTCATTAATGCTTATTTAAAATTAGCTGATAATTTGTGCAAGTAAATGTTGTGCAGGGACTATTTTTCATGAGGGCTCTTAAAAGTAGTAAATCTACTTGCAGTTGAGATGAACAGGAGTCAGTAGCGAACCGTGACTTTTGAACCTTGGCCCTCTCCCCCTACCCTCGTCGGGGGGGAAAACAGACTACCAGCCTAGCTTACACAGTCTAATTCTAAAAGTCATCTTTGACAATTCCACCTTTGAAACAAGAAGCTATTCCAGCCTTAAAGCGGTCACATACTGGACGAGAAGCGCAGTGCTGCGCCACACCATGTCTTTAATATTCAAACACATTGTTTTCTACATGCGCACCAGCAGCACCACCGACCTCCATGCTTTGACTTCAATAGACCACACTTTCTCATTCTGTTTGCGCTGTTTTTTTATCACCGAACTTCAAACTCATTGACACCACTTGCTCATTCTTGAAGTGAATGTTTGACTGCTTGGAGAGTAGATTAAAGGTTTTGGACTGCCATCTCAAACTGAACGCGACGCGTCCGGTGTGCGATAATTTGCCCTAGACTCACACATCGCATGGCGGCGGCGCTGAGCTTCTCGTCCGGTGTGCGACCGCCTTTCAGAAATGCAACAAGAAAACAGAGCAGCGAGAGTGACTGATATCACCAAAATAAAACATAGCTAAATTTAAGTCAAATGAAAATCCTCATTACAAATGCATCATCACACAATTGGTCTGTGCACAAAAACAACAAATGTAATGTTTAATGTAAGCCAACACATCATGACAGCGCTCACAGCAAAACAACTTGGCGACAGACACTTCATTACAAACAAGCAGTGTTTATATTAAATAATATTATTATTGGCACAGCAGCCCAGTAAATGTTCTCACTTGCGTTATTTGCGGCTTCCATCGTGACGTGAATAATAGCTAGTTACTTTATCAATCAGCGTATATATTTTTTTCTGATAGAGATCCGACAGCGGGCGGAACTTGTCATAAAGTTAGTGATAACAAGGCCCGCCCATTTAGAGAAAAGATATGATTGGTCCGTTTTTCTGTCATTTAAAATTATGCTCCCATTGATTTACTATTACTATTGGCCCTCTGTAATTTCACAGCTGGACCACCAATCACAGAGCCGCAAACGCTAGGCGGAAACATTCTAATATGGAGAAAATGAGCGGAGTTCATTTAACGCATTTACTGAATAGGCAGATTTGAAGAGTTTATTTCCACAGAAATTGTATTTATTTTATTTAGATGATTGTGAAATTATGAATTGCTGAAATACAATTGGAAATTATGACTTTTTATTAAAAATCATATTTAAAAGTTTGTCATTTTAAAAAAAATATTAAAAAATTGTAAATATTGTTTTTACAATAGTTTAGGCCCTCTCTGAGGGCCCTGATGGTTCTCCACTGACTATTAATGGATTATTATTATACAGATTATTAACGGATAGCTTTCACCAGATATTACAGACCTTCTACTGTATAAAGCCTAAGTTTTCATGTTGTCACATTATCAAACCTGATCATCGCTCCATTTCTCTCTCTTTCTCTGTCTCTCCAGGGAGAGATTCTCTCTCCATTACACATTCATTTAAACCCCACTCACTAACTCAGTCTGAACAATTAAATCTTGATGGCTGCGAAATGGTGTAATGCATTTCATTACAGAGTCGCAGAAGGCCCGGGTCATTCTCTAATGGTGAGGACTCTGTCTGTGAGTGTGTTTTAAACGTAGCGTGGATTCAGGATGGAGTCTAATTGACTAATTAAGCCCCAGATGCAGCTCCGGGGGGGTGACAGGGGGTGTGCGTGTTTCGAGAGAGCAGGGGGTGTTGTGTTGAAATATGCGGCCCAGCTACATTAGCCATGTAAATGCATAGTAAATCTCTTTTTATTTGTGTGTAATAAATACCCAGGAGGCTGTGTGGTCCAACCCCACTCTCATCTCTGGAGCGCTTGCACTCTCTAATGCATTGACCTTAGGGCTAAGCGAGAGAGACAGAGATCGAGTAGAGAGGGAAAGAATTAGTGTAAATAGATTGCAGGTGGCATCCATGCTACTCGTTTTTGATGGATAAACATTCTCACATTTTCATTTTCGAGTCTTCTTCTATGCACTTGATTTGTCAGTTCATTGGTGCTTATGCTAATGAATCTGTTGATTTGTGGATTATGAATCTAACTGGATTGGTTGTATGTTGTGTGTGTACAGGATAAAGCCGCTCTTGAAAGCCTGAGCCAACAGTTAAAACAGTCTGAAGACAGCAAGTTCACTCATGCAATGATGGACTTCGGCATCAGTGGCGATTCAGATGGTAAGATACTCTTTTACGGCCCATCATAAATTCATCTTTCAATTGATTTTATTGTGTCATCAAAAAGTTCAGTTTAAAGTCGCATGAAATAAAAATGCGTATCTATTTTCAATTTATTGATCTTATCGTGAACAACTCATCCATCCATGTTTTATTATTTATTTTTTGACCTCCTAACTTTTAACTTAAATACTTCAATCATTTCGCCTCCAAATAAACAGCCCTCACTGTCAACTGCAAGCTCACACCAGGACCCAGTCCTACATTTTTTGACATTTTTTCAATTTGTGCTAGTTTTTTTTCCTTTGATAATCTGTTTTACTCAGATGCGAGTCATAATATGGAAGAAAATATTTTAAAAACTTTAAAGATACATTAAGGTTAACGTGCAATGACCATGGACCCTATTTACTTCCCCATAATCCCCATAATTGTATCCTTGTTGCCAATTTCGCCTGCCAACTTGCTTTTAATCTTTCTCCTTTCCATTTTTCATGATTCTCAGTGGATAAAATTACATCAAACCGTACATTTCCATCTTATTTGATCTGTACTGTACTTATGATTATGTGTATCCCCACACTAACAGTGAGTCCCGGTTTTCCTTCTCCAGGAAGCCCAAGTGTGTCAGACTCACGGATCTTCAGGGAGGCTCGAGGACGTGGCAGCAGCGAACCGCACATCAAGCGGCCCATGAACGCCTTTATGGTCTGGGCTAAAGACGAGAGGAGGAAGATCCTTCAGGCTTTCCCTGACATGCACAACTCAAACATCAGCAAGATCCTTGGTGAGGGAGAGACAGCACTAGTAAATCTCTCCAACCACTTATCTAACCACTTCAGGTTTACTAGCGTCCGCTCTTGTTTCCAGCTGTGCAGTTTTTGACTCGAGGCTTTTGATCGATTTATATTCCATCCGGCTTTGATTCGCCACACACTGTATTCCCTAATTGGCTGAGATTTGTGGGTACATTAAATATGGGTTGGGCTTAAAGGCTGGCTCCTTCTGGAAGAACTATGCAGCCAGCCACAGAGAATCCCCTCTGTTCTTCCTCCCCAACACACACACAGCCCTTTCCCGCACTGCATTGTGTAACCACAGCCTAATGAATCGCTCTAGAGGGCCGACTCCAACAATGATGATATAATTCATTATGCATTAAACCAGCTCTCCAGTCTGTCTGACATTTTCTCCAGACCTCTGGGATTGTGTTTGACATTTTAAAGAGCTCCTAAGCGTTTTATAACGCTGGAAAATCTGGTTTTAATAAGGCCCCGCTCTCTCAATTGTTAACAGAAGGAGTTTCCCCTTTTCAGTGCTGGGTGCATGTCAGGGCCAGTGGTGACAGCTTTTTCCCATTAAACATACAGTAGGACTGTGTAAATTCAACACAGACTCACATATACACAAACGTATCACCCTGAACACACGTTTGCTGGAGTTTCTGGGACTGTGGCATGTGTACACAGTTGTGTGTGTTCACACATCTATGTTAATGAGAAATAAGAGACACAGGCCACAGGTATGCCTGTTGAGCTCTGATAATTAGATGGAGTGTGTTAGTGGCCCACTTAACCCGCTGTCACCTGGAATAATGTCTCACGTCACCAGTGTGTGTTTTGGAGGGCAGAGAGCACACTCTATTCTTCTCTGTTTGACATCAGCTCCACTCAAAGGTACTCATTAGACCAAACAAAAACCCTCTCTTAGTGCAAAGTACCAGTTCTGAGGCTAACGAAAGGCAGTTAAAAGCCGTACTGAGCATTGAGAGTGTGCAAAATTGCATATTTTAAAAATCGAATAGTCACTGGGTTGCCTGAATGATTAGTCGTCTAATGTGTCTTAAAGAAGCCCTGTATTAGTCTGGGTTTGAGTTCATCTGACCCTGATCTGCCACATTTTTCCTAAATGTTTACAGCTGTAGCGGCTTTCCCTTTCATTCTGTCTGAATCACAAGTGTGTTTGTTCTCTCTAACACCTTGTTGTTCTTGCAGGTTCTCGTTGGAAAGCCATGACCAACCTGGAAAAGCAGCCATATTATGAAGAACAGGCCCGTCTTAGTAAGCAGCACCTAGAGAAATATCCAGACTACAAATACAAACCACGACCCAAACGCACCTGCCTAGTGGACGGAAAGAAATTGCGCATTGGTGAATATAAGGCCATCATGCGCAACCGCAGACAGGAAATGCGGCAGTACTTCACCGTAGGGTACGTTTCATTATATAACACCTTCCAGTAATATATTCTTTTAAAGTCGACATCAAATTTACCCTGCTGAATTTCTTAATACACATTCCTTTTCTTACTGTGAAAGATCAATCAGTGCATTAATGAAGTAAAAATTCACACAGCTCTCCTTTGGGTGACATCAAGAAGCTCGCTAATTTTTCAACCCTTCCCTTTTTCACTATCTAGTTCCCAATAGACAAAATCAAGAACCCACCCCACATTTTTTGTTAAATATCCAATTTCACTCAGTAATATGTCACATTATGTAAGTAAAATGGGTTATGAATGCCATTTCAGGTTGACTTTCAGCATTTTTAACACAAAGTTGTATTCAAGTAACACGTTATAGTACCAATCATTTGACTAGCATCCCATGTTGCCTGTTTGTAAACTGTACACTTTTAGGAAACAACAATCTGATGAATGTTTTCACCCAGGCTCTGCTAACAGATTGCATGTTTGTTGTACAACAGGCAGCAGGCCCAGTTGCCCTTGTCCTCAGCGGGCGTTGTGTACCCAGGCGCGCTCTCTATGGCAGGAATGCCCTCTCCACAGATGCCCTCTGAGCACTCGAGCATGTCTAGTAGCCCCGAACCAGTCCCACCCAGCAGCCAGCCCTCTTACCTCACACACAAGAGGGAGGGGCCTCGCATTAAGGAGGAGCTCCGAATGGATGACGGCAACGGCGACGCCTATGATGAATTCGACTACGAAGACGATGACGGGGACTATGGCACTGACAGCGAGAATCACATCACTCAGTAAACCTGCCAATCACAGCCATCTCACCAGTCACCTGGCATCTCACGCAAGTAAACTTCATTCCGCCCCCATACACAGTCCAATCAGGAATCCTCCAGAGCCAAGCCCGATATCCACAGCAAAGCACAGGACCTGTCAATCAAAGTGACTGTTACATGGAAAGGAGGGTCTTGTAAAGGAAGTATAACACTTGCCTTGACTCCCGCTGAGCGAACGTACCGCAGCAAGTTCATATTGAATCACAAGTAAGCTACGACGACATAGGAAAAATTACTCTGAACCGGTTTGTTGTCGAGACATTTATTACTAAGGACCTGTCAGTCGACCCGTCATAGACACTTTAAAATGGTGGACCTGATTGTTTCTAAAGAGACACTTTTAAACAACTTTTTTTCTTGGTTCTATAATATTCTCACTCAGGTACACAGTGCCAACAAGTGGCTTGTGAATGTGATTTTGTTGTTTTTGTGCTACAGTTTTAATAGAGAAAAAAGACATTTATTTTCCTCTTCACCGTAAAGCACCTGACAGGAGTAAAATGACAAACATTTTCTATTTTTTTTCCTCTTCGGCGTGCTATTAGCTGAATCTCTTTCTATCATCCTCACGCCCATGTCCTCTCACTCAAAGATGTGTCTTCTGTTGGACGAAAGGATGGAAGGGAGGATTCTCGTCCCTTCACTCAGGAGTTCGGACATCGCTGGATGACAGACAATCCCTCCTTCCTCACATCTTTTCCTCTTGACACGCTTTTACTGTTCCTTTCTCCTCTTCTGTGGGAGCTTTGGATGTTGACGTCTCTCTCAGGTGTGGAGACAAACTTTACGAGATAGCACAAACTTTGTGTTTGGTGAACCGCTGACATGGCGATGGTTTTCGTGGAGAGTGAAGCCTCGAGCAGAATTATTGTACACGTGCACATTTCTTTATGTTTGTGTGTGTGTAGATGAATGCGCATTTTGCTAGGTTTTAAGTTAATTTTTATTACATGTAGACGGTTGATGTGCTGGTCATGTGAACATTTACAAAAGGAAAAAACATTCATATTCAATGCGTACGATTCATGCTAGCAGCCAGATCGGTGCTGAGGGAAGCCAAATGTTTAATAATAACGCTGCATTTATCATTCTTTTTGTTTTTATTTTTAGTCCGATCATTCGTTTGATAATTTTTTTTTTTCCATTCTTCCTTTAATTTTTTCCCATCATTCTCATTGTCTCCCTGAACAACCTTTTTCTGTCATCGCTGGGTGCAGGGAACACTGCACCTCATTCTGAAAGGAAAAGAGGAGACGCGGAGAGAAAAGCTCTCTAGAGGAGAGTCTGTGCTTGAATGGCATATTGAAGGAGGAGAATAGAGTTCCCACAAGCCCCGGTGCTCTGTTTTCAAAGGACAGCTCTGAGAGAAACCAGGGATCTCCGTACAAGACAAGCACGAGTGTGCGTTTCAATCAGCGCCACTTAATATATCTCACATCTCTACTCCTCCACAGGGATTTGTGTTTTATCTCTCTCTCCTCTTTTTTTCCATCTATCACTCGGTTTATCAGTGCAGAGGAGTCTCCGAGCCGTGCCATCAGTCATCCGCTCTCTGTGTGGCTCTGACTGACCCACTCCATCTTACTGCACCTGTGTGGCTGCTGTTGGCACGTCGATGGTGTTTGACTGACGGCTGCCCTAACTGTAACTACTCTGCCAGCCTCTCTCTGGCCTGGTGTGGGCATAAGCGGGCAGCTGGATGAGAGAAAGACAAGCTGTTAGGTGAACAGCAGCCAGACTCCAAACATTAATATCTGTGTTTTTTTCCCCTTTACATCTACCCAAAGGCCGTCCACTCACAACACATATCAAATTATATATTTAGAATGCACATGTATAACTAAAAACATTTTTGAATTTTCTGGCCTACTTGAGATTTTTTCTAACGATAAATATTAAAGGTACTCTGACGCCTGTAGCGCTAGCAAAGTGATGACCAATCGCATTTTGCGTGTTCGTCTTTGTCTAGTTTATTCAGTTCGATGAGGTCCAGTCCCGTCTGTTGTTTGTATTTGTGTTTTGCCTCCATGTCAACGTCACTCTGCTGTCGAGGTTGGGAGGAGCCGTTTCAGACTCTGCATGTTAATGTTTTAGTTTGTATTTGCAAATACTGTATTTTACTTTCATTAAAACTGCCTCTAGTGTAATAATATTATTAACAATAATTATAAGAATTGGCAGCATTTCCTAAGTTTAGTAAGTTATGTACAGTATAATTTATTATTTTCCTCCTTTTGGATTTTTTTTTATGATCGTATGGAAACTGCGCTTGATAAAGCATTATATTTAGCTGGGTAGGTATTTAGATCTAATCATTATGTTCAATATTCTGTTTTTTTGTTCTCCTTTTTTATTTTATTTGTTCTTATTTTTTTGTTGAATTAATCCTGTTCTGACGCTGATATATCTCTGAGAAAGTAGTCACGGTGAACTGCTGATATGAAGGAAAAGAGACATTTCTCTTTTTTTCATTTTCTTTTTCTCCTCCGTGCATTGTTCATGAACTCCAAACACATTTCTTAAAGCACTAGGACTCTGGACACTCGGAGTCAAACATAAGAAGAACATGATATTTTTATTTGTAATGGTTTATGTATAATGTGAAGTTTCCTTTCTGTTAATTCTCTTTTTCTTTTACTGAAGATAAAGAAAACGGCTATATTATACCCCAATTGTCATTGAACAGAAAGAGCGTGGAACTTGTTTACTGATATTTGTCATCCTCTCTCTTATGTTTCATTGGAACATCACTGGTTTAGAAAAATGCATTTGTTTACCTATTTTGTCAAATTGGGGTACAGTACACAGCACCTAACCCTTAAAAGGATAGTTCATCCAAAAAATGTAATTGACCAAGCCTATATGTCTTACTTTCTTCTGTAGAACACCAATGGAGACATTTAGCAGATTGTCCAAGCTGCTCTCTTCCATACAATAAGAGTAGATGGGGACCAGGGGTTCTGAAAAGAAATAAATGCATTGTAAAAGAGGTCCAAACAGCTGTGTTATATTCCTAAATCCTCTGAAGACTGAAAAGTCATTATTCCCTGAAAATCTTGCTTGAGCACGCCATTCACTTTCATTATGTGCAAAACAGCAGCTTGGACATTCTGTTAAACATCTTTAGTGCTTCACAGAAGATTAAAAGTGAAAGATGGTGGCAGGTAAACTATCCCTTTTAATCAGAAGACATGACTTTTCTGAATTGATCAAACTGTCTGATTCCAGTGAAGCTCCACTGAATGGCCATATTAGATGTTTTTATCTCCAGAATTGTTTTAGCTCCACACAGTCTCCCTCTGTCAATTAAGCTCACAGTAGTGACATCACAATCACAGAATAGCCACCATCTGATGTGACCATGCTTTCACATTTAGTAATTCCCACAATCATATCAATAGATAGGGACACGTATGCTGGCTGGCTTAACGTACAAGGTCACGTTCTGTCAACAAACTATCTTTCAGCATGGTAACCTCAGTCTTTAGAACTCTATATATGATAATTATGGCCTGTATTATGAACAATAATTGATAAGACAATCAAAGTCATGTGTGGAGCTCAAAACAATGTTAAATGACATCAAACAAAAAGTACTTAGAAACTTATCTTACCATCTCAACTTGAAAATCGAGAAAGATAATTATGTAAATATAGCATAGAGTTATAGATTTATATTTTGTTCATAACACAGTGTAATATAAGTTGTATATTTCTTTCTCTCTTTTATTGATGTTATTCATGCCACACTAAAAGCAAGAGTTTTACTGTACTCTTATGGAAAAAAAAAAAAAGAAAAAAAAAAGCAAGCTGTGGGTTACCACCATCTGTTCTAAGTTGACGTTTTTCAGTATTACTGCCAGTCAAGGCTCAAATAAAAACAGCAACGTGTTCTGTATCTCTACTGTGTGTCTGTGGCTCCTTCTTCTGCCCTACTGCAACTCACCAACTCCATAATTAAACTCTAGCAGTCCAGAACTGCCAAAAAGCACCACACTGCACACTAAATACTATCTGTCTACTGTTACGTGCCAACACATGAAGCAATCGCAACATTTTTAGGCCAAACAAAGGGAATTCCCAGTGCTGAACGTCATTGTATGTGTCTGGAATTACATGCGTCACGCAGGATAGTAGGACACCTGCTGAGGTTACAAATATTTTTAGAAGAATGTTCATAAATTACACAGTATTGTTAACAAATCTTAAAGGTTTGTCTCGATCGCTCCCCCTCAAGTAGGTGGTCTTAGATGTTTTAACTTTCATACCAGACTTCCTAAACCACACATTTCAATTAGAAATAATATTTGTGCCACAAATCAAAAAATTGCCTAGTGTTATCATACAATTAAAGAACCCAAAGCAATAAAAAATACCACTTTGTGCACACAGAGTATGTCTGGATTAGATTTCAGTCAAAATAATGAGGCTCTGGTGCTGCCCTCAAAGGAGCGTAACAGTAGGATTTATGGTAGTAAAAATCGCATTCATTTTCAAAAAAATACATACTTTTTGCAAAACTTTAAGACCAAAAGTTGCTAAGCAAGTGTATCTGCTTTTGTTCATTAAAAAGTGAAGTACTACATTACCCACAAATTTTTTATATAGTATATTATACATATATATATATATATATATATATATATATATATATATTGTCCAATACACTTTCATTTTTATATTAAACTTCACATTTGTATATTGTGTTTTATGTTGTTTATATAGTTCACTCCCTTAAAAAAAAGGACACCGTCATGTACTTTTGTCTTTTGTCCAATTTTCAAATACTTGTGACTGTTTGACTTTGTTTCAAGGCTTGCAACTCTCATCTGAAATGTCTGAAATTCCTCTGGAGAAAATAAAATACTCCTAAAACCAAGGCTGCTTAAAAAGACAAACCTAACTCTGTAGCAGAGCACCCAATTTTTTCCACCAATCAGAAGGCCAGAGACCAATGGATCACATCTGGTCTAATTAACCACAACAAGCATGGCGGAATGGAAACAATAGAAAGGACAATGGATAAAGGTAAGGTTATCTTTTGAAATTCACAAGCTTTATGTAATGAAATATGATAGTTGTGGTAATGTCAATGCTTTTGTAAAAGCTGCTAGGTTCTGTGCTCTTGTCTTTTCTGGCCCTGTAATGTTTCCTCTCTGGTGGGTCTGTGCTGCTGTCTTGAGTGTTTGTCTGAGAGGGAGTTAAGTACTCCAAATTTTCATTTAAACGCGGTGGAAAGTGGGCTGGAAAATTGAGTCTTTAAGTCTTTAAGTGAAGTAGCGTAGCTCAGGGCACTGTAAATATTTGATTTTTTGCCTGTAGCTAATACTGAATAGAGTGTTTTATAAGAGTGTGTGCATTTCTGCTCAGTATGAGGCTAAGTACAGAAAAGGAACATCTGATTCCTCGAGTTATCTTTCCTGCTGTCTGTTTCGCCGTCTCTGCTGAGTGCCGAATGGAAAAAGGGGGGCAAGATGTTTTCACAAGGCAACAGCATCATCTGAGGGAAGCAATTAGCATAATTCAGAGTGTGTATTTACTGTTTTTACATGTTTGTAAGCTCATGCTAGCTTATGTATTTTTACAGTTACCATGTCTGTGCGCGTGATGCATATGTCTGTGTGTGTGTGTGAGTTCCAGAGAGCTTCTGCGACAGCTCAGTGAAATGTGCAGATTTGAAGCGTGGGTGTTTGGAGATTGAGTGAAAACGATGTCACATTAATGATTTAAAGTAGGTAATAGGATGTGATGTGCCTCCAGAGCCGCCAGCTAAGCTGAGTTTAAGACACTCCGCTAATGTATTCATGAAGAGGGGGGGATTATAGAGTACTCAGAACTCCAACACACACGCAATCACACACACATTACCAATGACAGACAAATGTGTACACACACGACACCTTAGCACGACCGAAGCCAAACGCATCTGCACTTGCACTACAGAGGCAAAACGTTAACACGCATGCCATTCAACATCACAGCGGCCAAATACATACGGCTGTCACCAGAGCGAATGTCAGACAACAGGTTAAGCACTAAATATAAACCAAACCAAACAAAATCACCAAACTCCCAACACTTGCAACTTCATACATCCACTGAAATATGACAAAAACCTAAACAAATAAACTAAATGACAACTGACAGTTGTGACTGGGAAACCCATGATACTTTTTTTTATCATGCTCAGTTGCTCGTCATGCTTATCACGTGACACAGCATTTTTTTCCCCTTTTTATTCGAAATATTTCCAACTATATCAGGAAATATCTCGATTCTCAAATATGTGTAAGTAAATGCGTTTTGCACCTTTATAGATTGTTATTTGATCAATAAATGGTGATTGGCAAAGTAGACTGATAGCGTAATCTATTAACTACACATAAAAACCCGACTTTTTACTTAAGTAGGCTACCAGATATGGGTGTCATGGCATAAAATATGTTTAATACGACTGACTTTGTATTTAATGTTGAATTTAATAACAATATTGTAAGTTACTAATTATAATACTTTTATTTTACAGAGAGCAAAGAACATTTACATTATCAAATAACATTTTCATTCAGTCAAGCCAGAGTTCAGGCACTCTGAAAAACTCCCATTAAAATCACTGAAGCTGTTTACACTGTGAAATTAATATCTTACTTACATTCGTACGTACGCACATCTGCACTTTGTTGTTTCTGACGAGAGAATTCGCCAGATAATTAAGTCAGTCAGCAAGTGAACAAAACACAACGTTTCAGCGAGGACTCATCTGAACGTCTCTGATTGGCCATTGCATTCATAAGCTCAACAGAATCGTGTGTGATTGGTTATAATGCAGTGCTGTACAGACGCGTCTGTCTCTGGCCAGAGTTGCCAAGTCCACATATTATATGCGACTTTGGGCTTCTTCTTTTGTAAAGTTGCGTGAAAAAATTCCAGGTCGCGGATTGCAGTTTCTTGGGCTTATTTTACAAAATATGGTTGCTTGTTAGGAAAATCTGACAAGCAATTTAGTTTATTTTCATTTATGTTCACTGTATTCTCCAATGCATTGATTGACACTCTGTCTGCTCACAGTTAATAGCCAATCAGTGCAAAAATATAAGAACATGATTTTTCTTCAATGAGGGATTGGAGAAAAATCACGTTAAAAAAAAGGTGCGTGATGCTGTAATCCAAGTGATGATAGTAGTAGGGGGTGGGACAATATATCGATATGGCATTGTTGTCCTTCATGCGATACGAGAATCGATATCTGGCGCCAAATATCGATATTTTACTACAATACAATACTACAATATATTACTACAATAAGACGCTCTATACAGATTTCCCTGCTCCCAGCATCTAAAAAAATGCGTGGAAATCAAAGCGCTCTGAGCAACCATGAACTGCGTTCTCTATGAAGATGGGGAAGCACGAGGAACCGAAGGATAAACAGATTTCCAGCCACTGTATTAGCTCTACTGCTCTATATATGTTTATGGAGATAAAAGGAGATGGAGATAAAAAAAAAAAACTGCCCCGGAATAGCTACCAGCATTGACTGTAGGCATCGATCACGTTATTATTGCAGAGCGCATATTGAGTCCGTGAGTAGCCTAACCTCTCCGCTCGGATCGCAGGTGAATTTCCCTCACTATATGAGTGAGAGAGAGTGGCGCTGGCGCGTCCAGTTTTATGTCAACAAAACTGGATGCTCTCCCTCTCTCCCAGATATTACAAGTGCGCGTTAGGGCACCGATCGGCAGAAACAACTGCACCTATGGCATGGACGACGAAACAAAACCTCGTCAGAGCCGTAACGCGGCGCAGAATTGTGCAGTGTGTTTGCTTGCAGCACGTCTACATTTGAAATAATGAACCTGAGCGCGCAAAAGACGCGATGTGAATGCCCCCCCTCTAACAGTTTGGACTTGAATAAAAAAGAAAACTTGCACTTAACCTTTTCACAGGCATTTTGTTTTCATAGTTAGACAGATACCGTGATGTATCATTATAGAATTGTCTAGCAATATATTATCGCAGAATCGCTGTATCGTGATATTATCGTATCGTGAGCCATGTACCGTTATTCGTATCGTATCGTGAGGTACCCTGTGATTCCCACCCCTAGATAGTAGTAGTCAGAGAAGTGGGATGACTTTTTCTTTTATAAGGTAGCCTAATTTTTACAATGTTTTAGTAATGTATTAATTATCACAGGCTGTAATAAAAAAAACAAGTAGGCCTATACTAATACTACGAGTATATATATTTGGTTCTAATAGCCAATATTTTAGTAGGCTTTAAATATGTGGCTATGTTACAGCTCCCCTTTGAAGCTCTTGTGTTTTTCTCCTTTTCCATCTCTCCAATCCTATTCTGCTCACAGGTGATTGGAGATGAGATTTGTTCCTGCTTTGTTGCAGTTTGCTGATTTTTGCAGGCTCATTCATTGGTAATAAATAATTGATAATAAATTATATTGACGATAATAAATTATAAAAAAAATATTGGGCTTGTTTTTGAAGCCATGGTTGCTTATTTGTCTCACGAGAGTTGGCAAGCGTCTCTGGCTCAGCGCCAGCCGGCGACCACAGATTTGAATTTAGCAGCTGATGCTCTGCCGCACTGCACGTTCTAATCACACCGGTGTGATTGTATCAGATATAAAAAAATACTATACTGCTATTTTTTTTGTCTTTTGGAAGCTGCATTCAAAATTCACTTGGCTCAGAAATCTGAGGGGACACGTGCCCCCTCTCTTTCAATGGGCATGACACCTCTGGGCCTACTCACAATAAGCATCGATTCATTTATTCTGTGAGCAAAAGTGTTTCAAGGGACAGTTCACTATAAAAATTATCTCATCATTTACTCACCCTCATGTCATTCCAGGCCTGGATGGCTTTCTTTCTTCTGCATAACACAAGAGAAGATATTTTGAGGATGAAAAAAAGTTTCAGTGTTTTTTTACAATGTCATGAATTTTTTTTTTAGAGGCTTTAATTAGGCTACAGGTATGACTACATTTTTTTTTAAAATTTTTGTATGTGTAAATAATTTTTAATAATAATAAAAAAAATACAGAATGCATCTTTCTATGAACAATGTATGACAATGTTTCGCATCTTGTGGCCCTTCAAAGTGAATTCAGTGTGTGTGGTCCGGGGATGTGCTAGACCTGCAAACACAGCTGTAAATGGTTTATTCTGCTATTTAGCTTCAGTTTAACAGTAGGTGAGAGACAGGCATGGCATTGAGAGGAACAGCACAGCCTAAGGCTGCTGTCCAATCAGCTCTGACACATATTTCCCCTTACAGACGACACATTATGTTTGTTCTCATTCAGTGACTTCATCAACAGCTGGCCTACTCCACCCCCCATCAATGTTCATTCATATGAAATCATATTATTTTGTTTTTGAGAGGCGTCTGCCTGCCTTGCATCTCTCTCTCTCTCTTGTGCATTTGACAGTTCTTATCTCAGGTCTTATTTCAGATAGTCTCAGTCTGAGTTGACACGTCCATAGTCTGTAATAGCACAGCTTATAACACATTATACATATTACGTTGCGTTTAAACATTCAAGAAATTAACCATTCATGCGCAATAAGATGCTAAGGGGAACTCAAATCGGTACTCCCTTATGGACTGTCAATATGGTTTTCTGCAACAACACATACACCCAAACTATATGCACAAATATCGAAAGTCTCCTGTTAGCAACACAGCGTGTGAGTACTAAACGGAGTTCATTTTTACAGCTTTTTGCAAAAAATGTCAAAATGCCCATCTTGGTTGGTATTCACAAGACTCTTAAGTGAATTTAAACATTTAAGGGGGGGAAAATGATGTGTATCAATATACTGGATCTGTACATTAGGTCTTAAAGTTACATCTGTCTAATATACCTTCTGCTGTCTATGTCAAATAATGTCAGTCAAACAAAAGACAAAGAAAATTACTCATGGTGCTTGGCTGTGCTTAAAGGTGCAATATGTAATATTTGACAGCTAGCGGTTAAAATGGGAACTGCAGTCCAAATTCAAAAT